CAATTCACATACATGGATTCTCTGATACACGAAAGACTAGCTGCACACGAATCGAAAATATATCACTTACGTGGCTTGAAATACGAGCAACTTCTCCTCACATTGAGCGATCAGCTTTCAGTTACCAGTCTTGCACTTCTGGTAGCTTTGTACACTCAAATACGCAGCCTATCGTCATTTTCGTTTTCTGTGGGCGTAACGCTTGCCTTCTTGTCGTTTGCGGTTCACACAAATTGCCTTGTTGGTCTGACACCGTATTTGAGATCACGTAAACGACAGGCAAACTTGCGCGTGGGATTCTTGACACTGCTAGTCTTCTGTCTTTTGATTAGCAACATGCTCACTTATTTCGTATCCAATAATTACTGGATCGAAATCCTCGCTTGCGCATTAAGAAACGCAGAGCCCAACGCGTTGTCAGCATACTCTGCGATCGCGTCGGTTTGGTTCTTCATCAAAAACTACTACGATGCTCTTTCGCGCTTTTATGGATTATATCCCGCAGCTGATGGGTTTCTACGCCTTATATGCATCACCAAGGGGTCACGGAATGAATTCAGGAGTCTGCTTCATCACAGGGCGCAGAAAGAATTCAAAAGCCAAGAGAAAATGCTCGAGAAACTATCTGATGAGCACTCAACCCAAGTTAATACACTACTAATAGTGGTCAGAGTCTTATCGGAGGATCTTCTAAGCTCCATATTCTGGAAACTCTTTCAAGATATGGCATTCACAGTGTATTTGCTGTGCAGTTTGATTTCCGCGGTCCGTGATGTTGGAGAAGACGAAAGGAAATCTCTACTGGAACCCAAATTCGGACAGATTTTGCCTCTCATTCTCTTCTCTGTCTTTATCATCAACGTACTTGACGCCAGAGGTGATGTGCCTTCTCTTGAAAACTAGATGGTGCTTGACTAACGCGACCTCAGGAGAAACAGAAAGCGTCGCGATCAATGAGCTTTCCGGAAATTCGCTAGAATTGGCTGAACCACAGAACGCTCTCACTTCCTCGATAACAGAAGGGCCCGCTCCCATCGACGAGTTGTCAAATACTGCTGAATCAACCTGCCTCCAACGCGCTTTGCTTACAGACGGAGAAGCACCCTTGACAAATCGTGTCGTGAGGCGTTGGACGACCGGGCTTAGACAGACGGCCGGCAGAGACCACCTGGGGACGACAGGGCGATTTAGTTTTACCGATCTGCAGAATTTCAGGATATCGACGTCTAACAGGGCAATGACATCTTTGATGGAGTCAGGGGCTGATGTAAGTTGCTTTGGCTTTTATAACGTATTGTATTTTCCCTCCTTTAGGCTTGAGAAATCTCCACGTGAAACACATCGTAGCTGACATGACCATGGTCTGTCTACCTTGAAGCCGACCAATATCGACTTGAACACTGAGGACGAAAATGCTATCAAAGCAAAACTCATGTTACAAAGCATCAGGCTTGAGCTAGCACAAAAGGCAGCAGCAAAATCACCGTGGTGTGCTTGGGTGGTTTTGTGGGCCGCGATAGTCGTACTGGTTGGGTTTTTGGTGCTGTGTGTGTTTTATGGTCCGTGGGTGAGCATGGCGACCTTGGCCATCATTCTCATCTGGTTATTTTGTTACGTTATCTTGGCCCTATGGGATATGCGCAGTATCAGAATCGGAAGAATTACAGCGGGAAATCTTGCAATGGCCAGAGCAAATGCTTCGGAGAGACGACAACATGGGGTGTCATAAAGCCAACATTGAATGGGCCAACATCATAAACACGCTGTCATTGAATCACAACTATATTCTGTATTATTATCATTCCATTTTGGAATACAGATGTGCCACAATATTAAATCAATAAGACTTATATTGTTCTAGTTGTGCTCAACTAACGTATCTGTGACAAGCTTGCTTCATCGTCACGTCCGATTTCGTAACGCGTTCGCTGGTTCAAGACCTGGTTGGTCTTTTGCTAAGTGGGAAGTTAGGTCGTTTGTATTTAACTCATCCATATTCATCGCTCTTTGCTCTTGAGAGCTCGACGCATCGCGCGTTCTGGCTGCAGCTGGCACCGTGGGCATTCATGGAAGCTTCCTTGCTCTCATATTGTCGTAAATGATGACGGAATCGAGGAGAGTCTGGGTCCCCAAAGCACTGGAATGGAAGAGATGATTAGAATAGCGCCTAGCAGCAACGCTTGTAGATCATGACTTACCAATCCTCCGGAGTGCAATATTCCTCTGGATGATGACTGATACCGTCTTTGCAGGGTACAAATATCATCGTTGTTGGACAATGCTTGCTCGTGTTCACACTATCGTGCGTCGCGCCGCTCGTCATACGAAGCCAGCCATCGTGTCCCACGATACCATTCGCTGCTGTCTCGACGGCCCACACGCAGTCCTCATCAAAAGTGGCGGCTGGCGAATCCACATCGATGCTCCAGCTGAGCTCCACGCCATTCTCGCGTGAGATCTCCTGGAAGGAGGCGAGACATTGTTCTTGGACCTCACAGATGGTCTTGTCATCAGGATGGCGAATATCCAGTGTGAACGTTGCCTGTGAAGCAACTGCGTTGATCGATGATCCTGGAGGAACCTTGATGATTCCTGTGGTTACGAAAGCCCCGGATTTCTGGGCCAGCTCGTTCGAGGTCGCAATCATCTTCGCCGCAGCTAGTAGCGGATCTCTTCTTGCCGAATAAGGCGTCGTACCCGAATGTGCAGTCCTACCAACTACGGTAAAAGTGAGCCATCTGCAGGCTTGCGCGCCTCGAACAACTCCAATCTTTCTCCCTCTGGATTCCAACAAAGGACCTTGTTCGATATGTAGTTCGAAGTGCGCCCCTAGCGGGTAACCATGAGTTGCCGAACACGGGGCTTTCCCTAGGTATCCGTGTCTCTCGAGTTCTGACTTCATTGTGATGGAGGGATCTGAAACATCTCTCAGATCCCAAGCCCTTTGTATTGGTATATCTCCTGCCCAGACTTTGGAGGAGACTGTTGTGCCTGGAAACCTTGCGCCTTCCTCACTATGGGGTTAAGTCAGCCAATCTCAAACCATGAGGGGCTCGACGGGCGGAAGCTGTATTTGCGTACTTTGTCCAGTTGATGACCCCAATATCGAACTTAGACTGATAGCCATTCTCTTTCATCGTTCTAAGTGCTTCGATACCGGCAACGACCCCTAGTATGCCATCGTATCTACCGCCTTGGGGTTGGGTATCCAAATGGCTGCCCATTGCAGTAATGGGTAGTTTTGAGCCCAGAGATCCTCTTTGCCTAGCAAAAATGTTGCCCATCTGATCAACTTGAACATCGCAACCCAATCTCTGCGTCTCTTCTATGAACCATCGTCTCGCGGCGGCATCTTCATCTGAGAGAGTCAGCCGGGCCATTCCGGTTTCATTCGGGCCTCTGGTGAGTTGTCAGCAACTTGAGAAGCTTTTTCGTAGAGACTTAAGACTCACCTGCCATATCTATGAGCCGCTCCCCATTGGCAGGTATGGTGAATTGTTTCTTCAAGACGATCGGAGTTGATTTTAAGACCTGACAAGCCTTGGGAAAAGGTTGACGACTGGCGCACGAAACGAAGTGACTGGAGCGCCGATAGCCTTCTTGGGAACATCCTGTCGAGATAAATTGACATGCGTTTTCCATGTGTTCAACTCGGTAGACAAAGCATGCCGTTTTGTGGTTTGGACGACGATCACCGGGCTACCACTCGGGTAAAAGCCGTTATCTCGGAAGCGGTGCCGACAATCTGTGTGAGGGGTAGGTATCACGCCCCCCGGCAGTGGATTTCGGTGACAGCTTCACCGACTGACGCGATAGCAGACATTGGGCAATAACAGAATATATGGGCAGAGTGACCGAGTTCCTTCTCTCAACCCATTTTCGAAAAGTTTATCCAGTCTTGCCGACATAATAGTCTTTGATGACATAGGAAACATGCTAGTTCCTCTTTTTCGTTGACCATTAGTAACCTCAAGTCTGGCCAACCCGTCAAACCGCATCGTGACAAAGGACACGTCCATAATTGAAAATGGTAATTGAAAGGTTCTATAAATATGGTTCTGTATTTGCGTAGTTGCATTGGCGTAAATATTGAGCTTGCGTGCATGCACACAGTTAATCAAGCATCAGCGGAGTATTTGCCTTTAGCCTTGCATATTGATAAGGCTTCCTTATTGGACCGTCTCTTTTCGGTTTCTTCTGGCTGGAATGTCACGATGAAGCCTATTTATTACACGCTTCAACTTGACTTTATACCCATTCTAATGGATACTTCCAGTCCTCTCAACGCAACATCAAACTGCTTCTGGCTTTGATGTAAGCCCGAAACGGCCATTCTGGGCTGCAGGTCTTCAACACACCAACAACAAAGCAAAGCAAATTAAAATAGATGCATAAGCAATCAATGCCAGTTCGCCTGGCTCTCTATCTTCGGCTGAATTGATTATAAAAAACAAAAATTGAATCATCCGCGTGATGCATCCGCCGGTAATCGAAACCGGGTCCCTTGCTAATCCGAACTGGAATGGAAGGCAAGGATGATAACCACTACACTACAGATGCGGATGTGGTGATGATCCACCCGCTACGTTCAGTGTCCATGTACCAACATCGCTTACGATGACCGCCGAAGTGCGTCTCACGAGCGGCTGTATGCTGCAGACGCAATTTTGAATCATTGAATTTTACGAGACTTTCAAGTCTCGCATCGTATCGCGTCAAATTTGGACGCGTTTTGGACGCGTTGGCCCGGTTTTGGCTCTTGAGTGCGCTCTTTGATGAGGTGCCTGAACGAAGGATTACTGAACTATAATTATATTCAGGCCATCATAACACGAAGGCAACAAAAGCATAAGGTGTTCTTCTCAGTTAGTTCATTCAACAGTGGGTGATGGTGCTTGTCGATTCTGCTTACAGAGTATCCTTGGCGCTTAGGCAGACATGTCCGTAACCTCTAGTTGTCGATCGCTTACTATGGTCTGACTTCTCCCCAAACCCAAACCCTATAACAATTTGCAACGAGCACCATCAGTCCGAAGGCACCCAAGTCGGCGCATCTGAGCAGATCACCACCTTTAAAATGGGTCTGACGGACACGCCTCCTCCTCACGTCCCCTCGTGGGTCGTGCCAGCCTCCGGGGCCCTTCTCATCACAGGCGCCATCTTCTGGGATATGTGCTACGTGCTCATGTCAATCCGCTCCCACAGAACAAAATCATACGGCATGCCCCTCTTCGCCCTCGCGCTGAACCTCTCCTGGGAACTTATCTACGCAGTTCGCGTCGCCGAACACCCTTTCGAACGTCTCGGCTTCCTCGTCTGGCTACTTCTTGACGTGCCGCTCGTCTACACGACCCTCAAGAACGCGAAACACGAGTGGCGCCACGCGCCGCTTGTCGCGAACAATATCGGCGCTTTCCTTGCGATCATGGTAGCCCTTGGGTGCGCGGGGAACTATGCCGTCGCCGACTGGTGGCTGTCGGCGCCCGGTACCGGGTACGGAGACAAGAGTGGCAAGTGGTGGGCCGGACGGGAGGGATTCGATTGTACGGAGCTCGCGTTCTGGACGGCTGGTCTGGCGCAGTTCGCCCTTGGGACGGGATGTCTTGCCATGTTGCTCGTCAGGGGTCACTCTGGGGGCGCGAGCTATGCGATCTGGTGAGTGTTTTCCGTTTGTCTGGGCCTCCTTCGCTGTCTTTGCCTCATCCGATCGGGGGGGCGGGTTGGTTTCTCTCGTCTGGTGAGAAAACATCCATGTGTGATGAGGGTCACCGACGTGTTGGGTCAAAACATCTCACTGTATGCCGTTTTTGCGTCGTTTCCCCTGTCACCGGTGTGCGATATTCTCACACCCGCTTACTCTTCTCGTTCATCCTCCAAACGTGTCATCTTGACGCGTGTTGATGCCACCCCAAAAGAGCTATCCGCAGGCCATGGGTTCGAATGCTGTGCCGCTAGAGTTGCTCTGACGTGTGGGGTCTCTTTCCCGGTTCTCGTTTTCATCGTCCCTCTCATTCCGTCGTATTTGAACGGTCATGTTTGTTCAGTCAGAACAAGCACCCGCTGCATTCGGTGAGAGGGGGGTTTGGGTCATATGAGCAGACATCTTATGCTGATCACTTGTTCGACAGGTTCTGTAGGGCACTTGGCACCCTCACCGGTTGGATTGGCTCAACCGGTCTGCTCTGGTGGTATTGGCCAGAGGCCCATGGCTTCTTCGTCAATCCCATGAGCATCTTCCTCATGACGACGTGTTTGGCTTGCGATACCGCGTATCCATTCATTCTCGCAGAAGTGCGGAGAAGTGAGCAGATCCTCTCGGACGGCAGGCTTGTTTCTGGAATACCGGTCAAGAAGTCAGCCGCGCCAATAACGAAGAAAAGGTTATGAGTTCGGGAATAACATGGAGGATCGCGATCCTCGTCGATGAAGTGTTCTTGGCCCGGGTTTCCGGCAAGCAGCATCACTTACTCATCGTCTGCCACTATGCTAGACTGGGACCCTTGATCAAGACAACGATAGAAATTTGGTCGAACCGTAGAAATCTCAAGATGGCTTGCGGGCGTTCGAGACCCTTTGGCACCCGATACAGGTAGCCCCGGCCGCACAGACTCCAGACGCCCGTTATCTGTCACCGATGCAGATCTACTGGCCGGCTTGTAAACCGCGATGAGCACCAACAACATCGTGTGTGCCACGCAACTCAAGACCCGGGGTCCTGGAAACTGGCTCAACCACCATTGGAGGAAACCAAGGTGTGGCGGCTTGGCTGCGAGGAGAAAATGTACAGAAGCTCCAACAGATTGCGGAAACTGTGGGATTTTAGCAGGGGTCTTTGCGTTTTGGTGGCTGCAAAATGATCCATCTCATTGTTGGGCTTTGGATGCTTGCTGTGTTGGTTGTTGGTTGGCGGCACTTACATGAGATGAGCGGGATAATGTCTGTATTAAGACGATGACCGCAGCGGAACGAGGTGACATCGGGGAGTCGGTCATAGGTCCGAACTTTTTTCATACTCAGATGGGAATTTGTTGGATTCCCCAATTTCATGTGCCTCTTGATCGTCAACGATTCCCGTCACCCCTTGATTGTGTCAGCATCCCGATCTCGTCGGAGTATAATTTAGCACATGCATCGAATCAACTGACAGTTCACCTTGCAGACGTGTGCAGGTATGACTCCACATCAACAAAACATGACGGTGTGTTCGTACGATAGATGCAGCAACCTGGACTGCAGACTTGTCAAGCCTGCATAAATGCTAGAGCAAAACAGACGGCGGCTTGCAGCGAACCACCCGCAGAGCACACCTTCTATCACGTCACACAAGCCAGCTATCACAAAATGCATCGAATCAAGTAATGTTGGAGACCAAATTCTGCATGGATCTTCCGGGCTCCTAGCAGCGTGCTCGTCTAGACAGCCAACGGGAGACAGCGCAAGTGAGCTTCACGGCAGTATTCAACGCCAAGTGACCGAGAAGCAAGCGCCCGGCCAGCCAATCTCGTAATGCCATTTCCGCCTTTTTGTAGCTGTTGTCTGGGCTGTATGGGCTGAATTAGCCTGCATATGCTGGGAACGAATGATTCGTATCTTGTTCGCTTCGAATAAACCTCCGTTCTCACAGATTTGTATACTTCCCTGGTCTGAAGACGGGGATATAGCCTAACCAGTGGGGGTGTTAGAATAGAATATGATAACCAATATGAGCTTGCACCTCACAGATAGTCATGGGCGGTCGTCGCAGACAAGAAGCTGGAGAGTAAACCGTCTTCTGTATCTCATAAATGACCGGCATTTTAGATGCCCTAGCAAGTTTGGTGAGAAAGCGGACCCGGCTCGACGTTGTATTGTTTGGCTTATGTCAAATTGACCAAATCTATGGATAGACAAAGCAATGTACGTGTGAAACAGTATCAATACGATGTTGGTCTCGTTCTTGCGCAAAGCCGTGTCCTTTACACTATTTCCCCATTCACGATGCCGTTGGCGGAGCGGGATGTTGTTCCATTTCGGCCCCATGCTATAGGGCTGAGTTCGCCGGTCGGTCCGGCTCATCGCCCGGGCAAAGTTTACTCTTCGGCTACGAGGCCGGCTGCATGACTTGGGTTTCATGGGACTTTCACGCTGGGGAATCGGGATTGTGATTACATTACAGCCGCAGGCCCACGCATTGAAGGAATTGTACCTCACCTGTCGACCCTTTTCCTTCAGGCGGTAGTAAACACATTCCGTAATTGACGGTAAGCCACGTTAAATATCAAAGCCAGCGGAGAGTGAGGTGGAAGCTGATACACCTGATCCTTGTCCAATGTTCCTGAGCACTGTGCAAGTTCACGACATTTGGGCTGTACGGATACTTCGCAAGTATGAATACATGCGTCCTTAGCCAGGGGCGCCTCTATTGCATATCCTTCCGGACGTGTCAAAGATGTGAAGAGTCTGGCAGGGCTGGGAGACCCAGTACGGCCCTTTTCAAAAGCTCCCTTCAATCTGGAAAGTGGAGGACGGGGGCAATGGGCATATCCGTATCCATAGACCAGTGGCGGGATTGACGCCCAAACACCCACCCAAAACGTGCAAACTCTATATGTAGCACCCTGGCCGGAACTCGTCACATGAGCAATGACACCTGCGAGTCGCTCTGCGGAGACAGTTTCTCGAATGCAACGAGGAAACTCGTTGTTTGTCCCCGTTGCATTCGGTGCGGCCTCGACGTTGCGGCCCCCCTAGCAGAGTAGGCAGGATCAGCATATTGGACAGGGTGCTCTGAGCGGGTCGAACGGGGGGTTTGAGTCACATCAGCAATATTCAGGACCCTCCTGACAGCTGCAAGACATCAATTCAGGGCAGACAAGGCCCCTAAAGCGGTTCTTGATGACCGGGGGGAATGGAGGCCATGGCGGTTCAGCAACGAAGAGTAGTGGTCGAGGCCTCGGGGATGAGGGGTTCTATGAAGCAGGATTAGTTACGCTTGGGCGTTGGAGATGAAGAGTGAATGAGGTTGAGCGGGAGTCTCCGACTGTCGAGCGGTCGAGCCCCGGTGGATTGCTGTCAGTTGGAGTCCACTCGTATCGGCTGCCCTGGCGTGCCTGGCTGAGATTCATGTGAGTACTGCGTAGGCTTGCAAAAGTTCCGGCTATGCTATACTCAACTGGACCCGTAGAGTTTGAGGAGATTTGCTCGCTGGGCAGGGATAAGAAACGGCTTGCCTGTAGCAGTGTCAAAGCCTTTGATGCCTGGTGATGGATTGAGGCAGGGCAGACATTGTGAATGTCTGGCTGGACGGCTGATTCATTTGAGGCCCAACGTTGGTGCAAGGAAGCTAGGTGCCATTTATGCATTCTGCTGGGTGCATCTTATGTACTCCGCAGAGCTTCCCTAAGTTGGAGACTTCAATAGGCATTGCACCGCTTTGGTACGGATGGTCTATTCACGCATTCAGTTATACGGTTACTCTCTTCCCATCACCATGAAAAGCATGTTCGGTCTCACCGCCAGCCGGACCATCCTCCTGACCGCCTGAGCGTCAACTTGAAAGGCACGCGGCGGTCGTATTGCTCATTTTCCAAGTTCGACACGTCATCTCCCTCACCGACTACCACCGACTATGTTGCTGGCGGATTGCCGATCTCCATGCCTCTGCTGCTGCTGCGCCATTCCAAGGGTAGAACATCAACCGCAGTATTGGGGGTACTCATGAAGTGGCAGAAGTATGAATGCACAAACGAGATCTTTTATCCGCACGCAGACAGATATGAATACACGGTAATATTAATAACCTTCAGTTGTCATTGTGGAGCAGCGAGACAACAATGCAATGGCCCCTGGCGTTCCCGTTTGTTAATTGAACCGTTTCCTCGCTGCCAGTAGTCGCCGGACGAGCCACCGTGCGCTTGTCAGAATCCTAAATCCTCCCGGAGACCGATCCTTGTTCGGGGAACATGATTGACACTTGCCCGGGACTTAAGGCACTAATTGAGTCGAAGTAACCGAAGTACAGATACATATCACTCGGGCGAGCTCCGGGCACGTGTTTCTGTCTGTTGATGGTTGTTGTAGGGGCACGTTTGCATAACAGAATCAACAGGGTGGCCGAACTATGGCAACATGCGCGGCGACGGCTCCGTGCCCGCTGCGCTCGGTACCAAGGCCTGCCCGTCTCAAATTACCGCGGGATGGACGGGCTACACCAGACAATTCCCTCTCAAAAGAGCTTTGCGTACATGCGGCGTATCGCTCGCCGAAGTTAGGTGACTGAAGATGACAAATGAATGTCGACCATCTGGGGGGTTTGGAACTCGCAGAGCCGCCATCGAACTGTACGGAGTACCTAGGAAGGACATCTTGGGAGGGTGTGCAGAGCTGGGTTCGTTACTCCCGGGATGTTGACGGTCGTACAGTTCAGCGGGCATGAATGAGCGTGGCCGACATTCCCCTAGTTAACATTCACCCGGATCAGTACACCTCGCCTGGCCTCGCTCGTCCAATTTTTGGATGGTTTGGAGTAGCCCGGAGTTAGAGGGATGCCTCGGTGAGCAAGCTTTGCCAGTGGAAACCCTCCATGCTCTCATGCTACCCCTCAACAACGATCCTTCGACAAGTCAGATATCTTAGACCGAAGCGCTGCTAATGTAGACCCCGGTTCTTCGGAGACTCGGTCGGTCGCAAAGTCCCTCTGAAGAAGGTCGGAATGGCCTTACGCCAACCCCCAAGAAGCCAGAGTCCGGGAACAAAATGAAGCTCAGATTCTTTATTTCGTAACTAGCACCTAGGTATCCCATCCTTTCGCATGTGTCGGCAACTAGGGTACTGTGGCCCCCAATAGAGATGGGGCTCCCGGTACGTTTTGAGTGACAACTATCCACTGAACGTTTTGTCTGCAACACCACGCGACGGGGCGTCTCGGGATGTGGATGTCGCTGGCGACATGCGGCTTGTCTGGCTCGTCACCTTGAAATTTGCAGAAATATCCGTTAGTCGGATGACTAGAACCGCATTGCCCACTAACATTTCGGCAACGGTGGAGACCTGGGGTTCGGAGGCAACAGACCGTTGAGGAAGCTCGGCACGACGACAATATGACGAAGGGCCGATCAGCCAGCTCGGGATCGTTCTTCTCCAGTTAGAATATCTGCGGGGGTTTGTGGGCTTGCGGTCTTGGACACTTGGACAGACCGACAGAGCCTTGCCATCTAATAAGCGGTCTACAAAGATGGACCATAGAGATCCCGTCTCGAGTTGGAAACCACCTTGCACCGAACTACATTTCAAATACACAGTGACACAAGTGCTTCAAAGGCCCCGCACCGGTCAATCAAACGAGTGCTCGGGAGAACTTGAGAAGGGGAGGGAGGGGTCGAGAGTGAGGATGAGGGCGAGGGGGGAACGAAGCCCAGGGATGCCGATGAGTGAGTGTCCAGTCCAGGAAGCTTGCCCGTCGCAACCTTTTCGGGGGTGGCTTGCTGGTTTGCACTTCGGCCTAGATGGCGCAGCCAAAGTCAATCAGGTGACGGGCGACCACAAGAATCGTTTCAATGGGGAGGATCCCGCGCAAACCACCAAATGCAGAGACCCGGGACCAGACACGCCGAAACCAGTCGAGGTGCCAAAGGACCATCTCACACTTCCTCTCTTGGCAGGTTGTTATCGCGGCCAGGTCAGAGGAAAGATGCTGTCACGGCACGCCACTCAAGATATCACCAGTGTCATGATATCGACTTTGCCCGGCTAATCTTATCATAATTATCTTCAGCAATTAGGCGCATCCGGAGACGCTCTGTTCATCTGGGGGGGCTTTACCCTTCGAGAAGGTGACAAGAAGGCTGGTGACGGCAGATAAGCAGCCTTCAGATCTACTAGGGGATATGATATGTGACAGGCGCGAAGAGCAAGCAGGCCACCACGGGGGAAGAGGTAGAGAAAGAGGGGGGCAGAT